CACGATCAAACAACGACACTACAAGTATGCTTTCCGACATCACCACCGAAGCGGCAGACGCCGTGCTACTACAACACCCAGACAAAACGAACATTTTGCATACCGGGCACAGACCAAAGCGAACGCAACAATCGCATACCCACGTTTTCGCCCACGGCATGAAAAAAGAAGTGCTCCCACCTTACCGAGCTACAAAGTATTTGGGACGCAAGCTTCAACGCAGCGGCAGCCACAACGCGGAAGCGGAGAACCGGATTGCTTCGGCATGGAGGAAATTTTACTTGCTCAAGCAGGAACTAGCTGGAACACATTATTCAAAAACAACCGTATCCGGCTTTTCCACGGGACAGTTAGTCACAATGTGCTGTATGGATGCGAGGCATGGACGATGACAAAGGAGTTTGAGGATGCCGATCCGCTCGAGCCTTTGCCAGAGTGGATCAAGCGAGCAATTCTGCATGCGGAAACTACGATCTACCAGCGATACAAAAGAGTGGACACGATCGGTTATGCAATGGGAGCCCGGGCGCGATGTGCACATACAGCCACATCGACAAGCTGGCCGTCCCAAAACAAGGCGGTGGGACGATCTGCTACGTTACGCACAGCAGTGCGTGCCGGAAACACCACATACGGTCACAGGTTTGTTACACACTGCAACCACGAGTATTAGGGAAGATACAGGATCGGGGAACATCGTGCAATAAGAGCCGGTGCGTCGTAATCCATTGTTTATGTTTCACTGTTGTATCTTTATTCGCACATTGATCGATTGTCCTCTCTCCGTCCTCTGTGTGTGTCTGTCTCTCTCTCTCTCTCTTTCTCTTTCCCTCTTTCGTTCACCTGTGCCTTGCGTCGCATCATCCATTTTCACCCATAGCGGCGCCCCGGCGCCCCCCTGCCATGCCCCCGCGGCACCTCGAAGCGTGGCCCCACTGGCAGCTCCACCGAAGGCCCTGGCGGCTTCGGTCGCACCCGCCCGCCGCATTTATCTCGGGCTCCCCTCACGCATCTCGCGGCGACACAGGGAGCTCCACCTAGGTCTAAGCGGCTGCATTCACATGCGCCCGCCGCGCCCAATTCGGCACACCCCGCACGCATTCCGTGGCCCCACAGGGAGCTCCACCGAAGGCCCCAATGGTTGCGTTCGCATGCGCCCGCCGCTCCAAGTTCGGCACAGCCCTCGCCCGCTTCGTGGCCCCACTTTGAGCTCCACCGGAAGCGCTGTCGGCTGCGTTCGCGCCCGCCCGCCGCGCCCAGTTTGCCACAGTCCTCACGCGGAGCTCCACCAAAGGCACACGCGGCTGCATTCACATGAGCCCGCCGCGCCCATGTCGGCACAGCCCTCACACGCTTCGTGGCCCCACAAAAAGCCCCACAGAAGGCTCCAGTGACTGCGTTCGCATGCGCCCGCCGCGCCCATTTCGGCACGCTCCTCGCGCGCTTCGTGGCCCCAGGGGAGCACCAAAGGCATTAGGCACAACTGCGCTGATCACAACTGCATATGGTTGGGTCCTGCGCCAAGCTGCTCGAAGGTGTTATGTTAAGCTGCTGAAGATATCTTGTGCTGCTGGACCGTAACGTCGCGATCTGCGTGATGAGTGCGTCCGACCATCAGAAGTGTGAGGACGTCCCGAGCGAGACGACAAAAAACAATACCTCGGAGCATCAACAATACTCGCCTCCGAGTTCCGTTCCCTCGGAGAGTTGCGTATGATAATATGTCGCAAGCATTGTAAGCCCCAAGAGGTCTGGACCCTTTCCTTGGAACGGTTTTTCATCCCGAGTCGTCTTTTTTATGGTCCTGGGGCCCGGAAGGGCCTCCGCATGGCCCGCATGGCGGCCGTAATGGCAGCGCCCGCATGGCGGCCCCGCCACAGCCCGCCACACCCTTCACGCGCTTCGTGGCCCCATGCGGAGATCCACCGAAGGCGATACTCATAACGACGGTAGTCACAACTGCATGTGGTTGGGTCCTTCGCCGGGCTAATTCTGGTCTTGAAGCCTAGAAGGGCCCCCCAGAAACAGACAATTGCCAACAACTATTCGTCGTTTTTTTGTTCTCGCGACGTGAGGAGCTGTAGGAACGGCTTCTCCGCCTGTTCGCCTTCCCCCCTCCTCATAGTCCTCTCCCCCTCGCTCCTCCATCCAGCATCGTTTAGTCGATCCCTATCCCCATCCACACCCCGATCACCACCATCCCATCATCCCAGTTTGGGATATACTGTATGCTTCTCGAACCCCCAAAGGAGCAGCCAACATAAGTCGGCCAGTGGGGCCCAGGGCCACGCCGGTGGAAACAGGGATCGATTGAGCCAGGGCCACCCTTTTCACCGGTCGTCTACCTGGAGCACCCGAGCAGAGGGGTGCGCAGCTCGCGGGGGGCCTTCCGAGAAGGCAGGGGCCGTTCAGGATCCTCCCCGGCCTCTGAGAATCCGTTCCCGGAGCCCCGGGTCGGACTGGGTGCGGCCGGAGGTGGTTGCGAAATCTGCCGCGTGCG